GTTTCCACACGGGGGCTGGAGTCTCATTTTCGGCAGAAGGCATTTGTTCCAAATATATGCTTGATAGTTTGATCTCTCGATGTGCAGCATCAGACTGTCTGTGTTAGGGGGGAGGCAATCGTCAGAACATTTCCCAGACACAAACAAGGCGTACCTACAAATCCAAAAAGATACAAAAGTGCAGATGTGTGAATAGAATTCGCAACAAGGCCTTACATTGAATCATTGGCCTTAAGTTCCTTTTGTCGCCATAAAGCAGGCAGACAAATCTATTCAAAGGAGTGGAAACTTCTTCGAAATCTCAAACGATTGGCCAAGCAACGAGAAAGGCTCTAAAACTCAGGATTTTCTAAAAGCAATTTCCAAGGCTTTACTTTGCCTTTTCCAGCAAAGGCTTGTGGAATCACAGCCTACAAATGAACATGTTATACTTGTTAAATATGTTATGTATTTAATAATAATGAGCAGTGTCATGAATTATTGCCTGTGAATGCATGGAATCCAGGTAAACATTTGCAGAGAGCGTCTCCTAACTCATCAGATACAGCTCCAACGTCTATGGTGCGAGTGTTAGAACCTGTTCCTGTTAGTAAGTATACATCTTTTCCAATAAGCTTTTGCATGGCAATAGATATAACAAGGACATCTGTATCAGGCGTTTTAATGATGATTCTGTCATAGGTTTGAGCTGAGTGCTTGGAATGCAGAAGACGGGTATCTGCCTCTTCATGATCGCTTTCTAACTCTGGGACATTATGGGAGATAATTGGGTTAATCTAACAAACCTGGTTTTGTCGTTTATTCCAGCCATGTCTTTACATTTACTAGTAATAGCAGCTCTCTGCGATTGGGATAGAAGCCACCTGTGCACTGTTGACCGATTCATTGAAAAGTCAATCAAACCACCTTTCGTTTTAGAATCGCGATTGGCTGTCTGCTCTATAGTTTGGTCGCAGGGTACTGCTGAAAACGCATAGTTTTGCTGCCGCTGCACTGAAAAGTTGGATGACAAGTCGTCAAGGATTCCTGTGAATAAAGGCAGAGCATAAACAAAGGCAGATTAATTAAGAAATATTCCGTGCTCAATACAAATACAACAAACCTGGATGCGTTTCCTTGACGGATACCATTTCAAGCCAATATGCAGCTCCATATCTTGAGTAGTTGACTTTATCACAGGCAAAATACCAGGACAACATCGCTCTGAATGCCAGCAAATGGAGATTCCAGTCAACAGTTCTTGTGGCTCGTACAAACATAAGAATAATTCCTGAAAAGATAAGTCTAATTTACCATCGTATATTCAGTATTTTTGAGAGTCCAAAGCAAACTTCTGTAAATTAAAATTGGTACGCAACGATCTCCGTTTTAGAAAATTCAATAGAAATTTTATTTATTCAAACGATTTGAATGAAATTACCTATCATCTTAATATACATACTCCAGTATGCAAACGTTTTCGATTTTGCCGACGATTCAGCAACGAAATCATCATTTGTCTTTACTAGGTCTTTGAATTCTTGAGACTCGACGAAATCTTGTCAAGTTCCATTCAAATAAGCTTCTCTTGCGGATATTATGACATCATAGGTCTTTTTCTCTCATTCTTCACCCAAGCTATCCAAGAACACATCAAATCTCATCTGCTGAAGAGCCTCGTACAATACTTTGTGGCATGACATGGAACGATTGTAGTGCTTCCCACTGAGTACACCCTTAATGGATCCCTCACTTATCAAACCTGATTCTATAAATAAGTCCTGTAAATGAAAAAGGGACTCCGATTACATTCACTTGCATATATAATGGCATTATGAATTACCCAATAATACTTTTTTGGGTTCTTTTATGGCTAGACAGGGAATGGAAAACTAGTACTATGATTACCACGGCATGATCATACCTTTAGACCTCCGTCTTCGAAAAGTTTTGAAACCGCACCAAGATATGACATAATTGCATGAAATTCTCCTAGGCGCACGACAAAACGATTGTAGTAGTCATCATTTTTCCATCGAACGTGTTGCACTTTAGCGTAAACAGCTTCGTCGAATACTAATGTCACATATCTGAAAAAAAAAAAAAAATTCAGAGAAACTTAAAGATAGAATTTTAGCAAACGACAATGTACCTCAGTTTTAGCTTGTCTGCAATTTCGGTGCTTTTGTTCAGTATTTCGTTTATAGTCGAGTATTCTGTTGGAGAACCATCGATGACTGGTAAATATCCGACTCTTGAAACATCTGGCATTTCGTCACGGTAAAGAAAAGTATTGAATCCTGTCCATGAGGGAAGGCAATCATCTTGATTTGATTTGACCATTCGCACCAAAACGTACGCTAAATCAAGCTTCTTTGCAAGCTCGCCACGTGAGTTGAAGGTAGTTACAGAAGTTCTTGCCTTGTTGAAGTCGGGAGTCTTTTTGACGCAAATAGAAAAAGGGGCAATTTCTGAGTCTGGCATCTCTATAGATCTCTGCGACTTCTTTATTTTTGGTTTTGGTTGGACAAGAGGTGGCTCAGTGGATTCTTTGATCTTTTGTGCAATTATCCCGTTTGTTACATGGGTTTGATTCTTAATCTCTTCACCAAAATCGATATTGTCCCATCCAAGGTTAGTAGCTACCTCTTCAAGAAATTCACTAGGTATTAATGCTGACGTTTCCATAACAGTCTGTGCTAGGGCAGTATCGTAGCTCATTGTCGAAGATAGGGACACACAGTGACCTAGACCTCTTAAAATCCTTATTAACATGGAGCATCCTGACATTTGTCTGACAGCCGTTGCCAAAGCGACTGATTTTGGGGTTTTTACCTTTCCTTTTGAACTACTGTACACCATATCCTGACACAAAGAGAAAAGTTTGATCCTCAAGTTCTCGCCAATATCAACATAGTTCGTATGTTCAGGTTCTTCTGAGAAGCCAAGTACCCATGCCATGAAATTAAAGAGCACTGGAGAAACAACTTTTTTAACACTGTCGCCGGTTATATCGCTCGATAATGGAGGCCAATCGTTGTACCACTTAGTGGGATAGTCATGAATAACCCTTCTCAGCTCTAAAGCGGCGAAATAGAGACCATGTAAAGGGGAGTTTGCTGAAGGATCCATTCCATAATGTTGAGTTTCCAGCTCAGCATCACTTATTTCCTCTTGCTCGGCACTTTCAGGGTCGTCACCGTCTATACACATCTCCACTACACTACCTTTACACAAATCCTCTGCATATACTATCTCACTTCTATTACGGACTTTTGGTGTATGGAACACAAGCTGTGGAAATCTTTCTTTTAAACGTTCCTTGAGACTAGTACTTCTATATCCTGAGGCATCTTTATTTTCAATGTTCTTAACTGTGTCCACAAACTTCATCGTAAGCATTTTCATATAACATATCCCATGATCAACAATAATAACCTTTTTAATGTACTTGCAGAATTCCTCGAACGACTCACTATACAAAAGTTTGCATCCAACATTAATCAACGCACTTTGACCATTATAAAGGAAAGATGTGTAGGACTTGTAGCATTTGCTATGGTATTTAACTTCAAGAGCAACGCAGTCCTTGTCTAAGATATGCACCAGAATGCGCTCATCCTCTTTTCTTGTAGCTTCTTCACGTAAGCGTCCTCCGTCAATCGTTTCTGATGAAACAAGCTTGTCAACAACACGCTTTCCCTAGTGAAGAAAAGATGTCCAAAGTTTACTGATATGCCATTACATTATTTCTTTTCAAACAAACTTACAATATTTAGTTTCCGTTTTTTACTGCTCTTTTTAAATTGTAATTAAGTTTTTTATTCTGTTCTATAATTATTTCTTTACATGGGTTAGCATAACAAGCGCTTTGGGCTAATAGGTAAAGCGCTATAAAAGTGCATATATTATTGTTATATTGTTATTATTATTACATTTTGCAAGTGAAAATGGGCTACCTGTGTAACCAATTAAGACAATGAAAAAAATATTGAATTAAAAATTATTTCTATTACTTTACCTTTTGAACAATGAAAGACTTTTCCTTGTTACATATAATGCACACAGGAGGCAAAACAGCTTCATTTCTAGCGTGTTTGAGAGGATCATTTGTCAAGTGAGATGAAGATCTTAATAATTTTTAGGAGCCTTGTACTGTTTGTTCATCATTTTGTGTTTCACCAACACTTGGAATTTCTCTCTTATTGTAACACGTTTTCAGCTCTCCTTATTAACCCTACATTTGTAAACTTGGCATAGCAATTTCTATGATACTGGAAGTTCTCAAGCAATGGATTATCGAGTGACCTTATTCTATTTACTAAATCTTCGTTTCTATCAGCAATCTCCTTATGCTCACCGTCGTACAAGCGCCATATATCATGGCAATGTAAAAATTTAGCTAAGGATGTTTCTGTAAAAGTAGATAAGGGACCTTTTGCAGCCTTAAAATGAATAATGCAGCCGGGCGGGGCCGCCATGTTTTATGCGTGAGCCAGCGATTTGCCAGCGGTTTTCATAAAAAATACAGCTAAAAACAAGATGGCGGCAGGAAAAATCAAAGAGCAAGTTTGTCACCTAAAAAGTGCTATTACAGCGTAGATTGCAAGTTTCAAAGGTGTAAACATCTCGAATCTTAATAAGTAAGTTTTATTAAGTATTTCTGTGTGATTTTTATTTAGTCATATATTTTTACATACGAAAATCGTTTTCTAAGCACATTTTCGGGGCACAGAATACGGCCTACATCAGATACTCTACCATTTTTACCAATGTCAATATACAGAAATTTGTAGTCAGCATCAACCAATGCTAGAAGTACAATACTAAAGTTGTTTTTATAGTTAAAATAAAAGGAACCACTATTGTTGGGTGCCTTCAATAATATGTGCTTCCCATCCAAAGCACCCACGCAGTTAGGGAAGTTCCATCTCTCTGAAAAGGCTTGTTCTACTTTCCTCCAATCCTCTTCAGTTGTTGGAACCTACATGTAAAACAATTAGAATACTGCTTTACTGCAACCAACAAGTATTTGCATTGCCAATTAAATTAGCGAGGATAATGTTAATATATGTATTTTTTGGAGGAAACAATTACCTTAATGTAATCCTTGAGGACTTCTGATAAAGCATCACATGTTTCTGGGATTATTTGCCCCATAGTTTGTCTAGCTATCCTGTACAAGAATTGTAAGCTGCTGTACGATTCACCTAGAGAAACACAATGAATGTCTTGCTTCTATTCAAACAACGTCATTACATGTTTAGCCTAAAGTCCACACATGTCCCCACGCTCACTTTTCATCGATACTGATACATAAGTTAGCAATTCCAAACCTGTTGCTAAGAAACGTAGGGTTACTGCCAAACGTTCACCTGCTGGAATAGAACGTCTCATGTTTGTATCTTTTTTTGTTATTAATGGCGTAATCAAGCTTTCTAGGACACCAAACGATTCCGGATCCATTCGTAGAAATTTTTTGTATCCATTCGAATATGACAAGCGCAATTCTTTCACTAAATGCTGGCATGCCCCATACTGCTGTCTTTTTTTCATCCATTCTCTTATCCAAACAGTTCTTTTTTTCTGTCTTCTGCGTCGTTGTTTAATTGCTATGTATAAAACAATGGCAGCACAAGTAGCAGCTGTCAGGTAGTCTCCCGCCATATTTCAAAAACAAACAAAATGACTCCGCAAAGTTTCAGAAACATTTAGTTTGTTTGTCATGTTAAGTTTCTGAAAGTTTTGTATCGGAGACCATGTCTCGGAAACAAAAGTCTCGGAGACCACGTCGTGTGTCACAGGCTTTAGGATTAATATATTATATGTATTCTGATCTGTCTATGATAACTGTTATGCGTCCTTTGTCAGCTCCTAATATGATTATTTGGTCGTTGTTTTGTAGGTTTTTAAATGCTCGTAGTTTAGGGTGACAGGTGGTTTGTGACAGAGGTTATTTGTGATTTTGTGACGAATGCCTTATTTCGTTTGGTCTGTTAAGTTGATGTACTTTAAAGCGGATTCCAGGTCGGCACCGTAGTCAAGTTTGTTCGCATTTTTAAAGTTGTAATTTAATCCTTTGTTTGAAATTTTAGTTTGCTGTTTGGTTAGTGGTTTCTTCGAGATGTTTGTGACAAATTCGTTTGTGTTGGGATGGAGCTGTTTGTAAGATCTGGATTCTTGTAATTTTCGATGAAATTGGAGTTGTTGTTTTGTTGTATATGCGGATGTTGCTTTTTTGATGGCTTCATAAATGGATTTGGCTTCTGATTGTGTAGTGTATCTTGTTATGGTCTCTCGATGTTCTTCTAGTTTATGTCTGTAGATTCGTAAGCGGTTGCGGGCATCTGATATGAGGATGTTTAACATACGGCGGCCATTTGATTGTACAATTGTTGAGCGTGAGTTGTTTTTAATGGTGGCGGGTAGTTGATGCTGTTTGGTAGAATTCGTTGTTGTTTGCATTTGTGTAGGAAGTGAAGCTGCTCCAATGTTGATGACTCTTTATGTGTGAATAATTCCCATTTTCTTGTTCTTCTGAGAATATCTATTAGTCCAGCTGTTAAAGACAAAAAAAAACACCTAACCCTTCACTTTGATGATACAAGTATGAAACTTTCTCACATTCTTACTATGCCTAGTAACACAAAATTTTGATATAGGGCCAGCCCAAATTTTACATTTAAAACGAGTTCTGCGAATGTCGTGTTTGATGACGTCATCGGTAGTAAAAAAATAAAGTTCAGAGAAATCTGCAATTTCCATGTATATTCTTATACAACAGCTAAAGACGATAGAAAAACTATATTACAACTTTTTCTCTTGGGCAATACTTTCCCAAATATTGTGCATGGAATATTCTGAAAAGTGCTGAGTCAGAACTTTTATATATATTATATATGTATATATATAAAGTGTATAACAATGTGCCCTCCCGGCTTTCACCATAGTGCAATGGTAAATTGTATCGAAACAATGAAGAACATTCAATTAAGTTTCTTTAAGATTTATTACCTTACTTGAGTTAGCATTCAGAATAACCTAATTGAAAAAACCTATTTGGAAAGAAGATATGTCAAAGGATCATCCTCAGTTTCTGTATTGGACCAGACTTTTGGAACTAGAATTACTCTGTTTACAACTAGTGCGATCATTTAGAGAAGCTAATTTCTCCTTATACTTCCAGTCAATTAAGCAACTTGTCCCTTGGATGTTTCCTTTGGACAATGTTAATTATGCAAGATGGGTTTCTGTCCAAATCCGTGATATGTCGGAGCTTCCATTCAAACACCCTGACGTCTTTAACCAGTTCTCCAAGGGCTCGTTTGTGGTGCATAAAACGAAGAAACAGTTTTCAGCTATAGCATTAGATCATGCTCACGAGCAAGTTAATGCAGTGGTAAAGGGAGAAGGTGGTGCTGTGGGACTAACCGAAAACCTTTCAGCTTTAAGGAGATGGATGATTGCAGGTCCAGAAATTGCACGAATAATTAGGGAATTCGAGATGAGTACACATGTAGACAGTCAGCTACACCATGAGCAAACTCCATCCATTCAAAGAGAATTTTATAAAGATGTCTCAAATGTCGTCTCCAATTTTCAAGCGATGGGGAATCCTTTTGTAGAGAGCGAAGACCTATTTGCCATCCACACAAATGACGTGATGAACAGTTCCGTTGTTGACACGGTGAAGAATGTTGTAACCCTTGGAGAAGAACAATATCAAGCATTTGTTAAAGAAAGATTTGTTGAGAGAAGCAAGAGTATTACTGAAACGTTGAAAAAAATAATCTGCCAACGTTTAAAACAGGAAGAAAAAGAGTTTCGTCAAAAGATAAAGTAAATATACAAACTCTGAAACTAGACTGTGCTTTATTTTCAAGATTGCATATAGCCAGTCAAAATCGAAGTGGTGATCTCGATGATTTCTTTAAATATGAGAACCAAACATGGCCACCATCTCTCTCACAAGCAGGAAGTTTGCCTACTGGTAATAAAGCAGACTTGACAAAGTGTATCGAGCCCATTACCAAAGTTCAGTCACCAACTCCCGATGTTATTATTTTAGACGGGGCTGTTGTTGTTCAAATGATTTCACCTGGAACTTGGGAAACGTTCGAAGAGTACGCTCAGTTTGCTTTCATTCCTTATGTGTTAAAGCAATTTCAATCAGGTAAAAGAAATGATTTAGTGTGGGATGTATACAAAGAGGATTCGCTGAAAAAAAAGGCACGGGACAAGAGAGGCTTTGGTCAACGCCGCAAGGTTTCATCGACAGCACGTATCCCTACTGACTGGAAGGGCTTCCTGCGCGTAGATGCCAACAAAATGGATCTATTCAATTTCTTAGCGCAGAAAGTTATTTCCCAGCAGATTCAAGAAGGAAGAGAAATTTACAGTACATTTGAAGAAAAGGTCTTGTGCTTCCCTAAAAGAACGGAAGTATCAATGTTGGAACCATGTAATCATGAAGAGGCTGACACACGATTGATGGTGCACGTGTTAGATGCAAGTGACTGCGGCCACCAGAGGATTGTTGTAAGAACAAATGATACTGACGTATTGACACTGGCCATTTCAATTGTGAAAAACATCAAAGCAGAAGAATTATGGATTCTTTATGGCACAGGAAAGCACTCGCGTTATATTCCCGCGCATACAATTGCATCGACTATCGGACCTGACAAGGCATCTGTTCTACCGTTGTTTCACGCTTTTACGGGGAGTGATACTGTTTCCTTTTTTGGAGGTCGAGGAAAGAAAACTGCATGGGATGTATGGAATGTATTTCCAGAGCTAACATTAGCGTTGCAAGAGCTAAATTTGTTGCCAGAAAGGATTGATTGTTCGTCCTTGCAGGTAATTCAGAAACCGCCAAAGGCATGTATTATCTATCAAATAAGGTCTCTATTATGATTCATATAATGTTTTGCAGGTGATTGAGCGATATGTGGTCCTCTTATAAGATCGTACAAGTAATCTCACCAGAGTCAATGAGGCTAGACAAGAGCTGTTTGCCAAAAAGTCCAGAACACTGGATAACATTCCACCAACCCAAGAAGCGTTGCTCCAGCACACTAAGCGTGCATTGTTGCAAGGTGGATTTTTCTGGGGGCAGTGCTGTTTGAAAGAGCAGGTTATACCAACTCCGTCAGGTTGGGGCTGGTACCGTGATGAAAATTCTTGGTTACCAAAGTGGACAAATCTCCCTCAAGTTAAAGATGCCTGTTATGAACTTATTCGTTGCGGATGCAAAAGTTCATGTTCTAGTCGTTGTAAATGCGTCAAAGCACATTTAGTTTGTACTCGTTTGTGTAATTGTGGGGGTGATTGTCAATAACATGAGGGCATTAAAATTATTTTAATATTACTGTTCTTCGTTAGGCGCTTTTCCAATGTATTTTAGAAAGAGCAATAGCACTAAACAAAAGTGCTGAGTCAGCACTTTAAAAACACATTTAATGTAGAATATTTCAGAATGTATTGCTCAAAAGCAAAAATTGTAATATAGTTTTTCATCGTCTTTAGCTGTTGTATAAGAATATACAGGGAAATTGCAGATTTCTCTGAACTTTATTTTTTTTTACTACCGATGACATCATCAAACACGACATTCGCAGAACTTGCTATAAATGTAAAATATGGGCTGGCCCTATATCAAAATTTTGTGTTACTAGGCATAGTAAGAATGTGAGAAAGTTTCACACTTGTATCATCAAAGTGAAGAATTTTGTCATTAACAGCTGGACTATATCCCATATGTCGATTTTATAACTTTGTAAATTGGTAATCCAGGGGCCGGTTGTATAAAAACGTAGTTAACTTTAATTATAGTTAGCGCTAACTACCGTAGTTAACTCCTTAACTATAGTAACTTAACTGCTCGACTTAACTGCGTTGCACAAAACGTAGTTTGTCGGATAGTTAAGTAACTGCGTAGTTAACTTGCGTGGAAATTGCGTGGAGTGTTGTTTACGTTAAATGACATAAAGTTTAATCAATTTATGCTTTGTAATGGCGGGCAAGTGAAATATAAAATGACTTCAAAATCAAGAAAAATCTCTTGGCTTATGTAAAAATCCTAAAATATGGCAAACTATTGCCGTTTTTACGGATGTTGATGATGCGAAAATAAAATTTAACAAACTATTCACGGTGACATGGTAACCGGATTAAATTGTAGCATATATTTTATACTTTTCTCAAGAAATCGTATCTTCTGTGTAATACAGTACGATGTTGATGAATGATATGAGTCTCGGCAAGGACTGCTTTATTTCATGTACCAATTGTATATAATGGACTTGGGCAAACAAAACAATGAAGTCTTCTCAAATTGATTCATATTGTGTTCTATGTGCAAGGATATAAATATTAAAATGGCCTTGCTTTTACAGAATTTAAAACTGAGAGATTGAGAGTAACAAAGGAAAAGGTCGTTTCGTTTCTCTTTATAACAGCTGAGTAAAATGCTTGAAAGAAATGTGTTTGTACAGACATAAGTCACACATATTTGTAAAAGATGACAGTGATGAACTTTTTTATTATTAGAAAACATTTCTTTGAGTCATCATAGTTAGTAGCCATGTAATCCAGCAACTGTCTTCTCTGCTTGTGACATTTTATATTCACAGCTATACACAAAACCCTTTTTTGTTCTTAATTTTGCCTTGCAAAAACTGAGTTATAAAAACTGCTGGGTATATTTGTTAATGAGCCTTAGCTATGAAACTTTTATTTATGCCTTTGTGATTTATTAGCCTATCTTTGTCTAAAGCTTGGGAGTTTTATTCATTTTTTTCGACTTTTTAAGTCATCAAACAGTAGCTAGATCTTTATTGGCAGGCAAGATTGTATGTACATATTTAAAAATGTACAAATAAAAATTTTTACATAGGAAATACTT